GCTACTTATAGACACCAGTAAAACTGGAGAAATAACAAGTGCGTACCCGCCTTTTATGTCTAATATACGTCCAGAAATCTTAGACAGGGAGCGAAACAAAACACAGGCGTTGTTTCACGCCGGTTTTCTGTGAAGTCGTGGTACCACTCCAGTCGAACCGGTTCATACATTCCTAAGCACTCTCGTACCTGACAAAAGGTTTATTTTATTTCCATTTACTTCACATTCACACTAACAAAATATGTTATTTATTAAACACATAGTTGCCCTCCTACATTTGTCATCACGAAAGCATTTACAGCTAACAGAGGTTGGAACTAAAAACACTTCACCGCAAAACTAAGCGCTATTGTGGTTACTGTTCTCTCGAGTGCGTTACTTCACTGTGTTTCAAATATATGTATGAATGGTAGTAATCATATGTATGAGAGCTTACTACGTTGTTGACAAAGTGATTGTAAGCATGTTTGAAGATTTACGATTTGTTATTTTGAAGAGAGGGTCTAATTGAACAACCTTTTTTCGAATGAGATCTAATTAGTACTTTGGAAAAAATAATAGTATACTTCTAACAGTAACAAGAGCCTATAACTTGCTTGTGATAAATTAATGAAATAGTGCTTTTACAAAAAACGTTAACGAAAAAAATACCTACAATTAAAATCCCTCAACATAACATAACATCACGCCTTTTACCCCCGAAAGGGTAGTCAGAGGTGCACATTACAGCACTAAATGCCACTGCACAATGTAACACCCACTTTTCACAATTAATCCTTCAACATTTTCCCAAAAATAAAACAGATACTACAAAAAAAAACATGTTTCTCCGTAATAATATCATAATCTACGGACTTCCAATATCCTGTAATCCAATACAGTTATTATATTGAGTTAGTGTCGTCCATTAATAATGAAGCGAGGGGGCGCCAGTGTCGCCATCTACGCGTAACTATGGGGGCTTTATCTTAATTGCCTTCCGAAATACCTATATCTTTGCGGGATACAAGGATGTTAGTGGTGAAAAAGAGCATTTTATTAAACTTTATACCTTTAGCCTTTGATATAAGAGTCAGTTTATGTAAAATGTTTGTAGTTGATGTTTATTAGTCGTCCATCCTATTATTACTGCTCCTTACTTCGCTTGGTTGACGTTAACCTAATTGCTTTGGAATCTATATTCATATTCGCCTGCCTCTTTGGCCGAGTGGAACTGCCGGGCAAGGGATCTCGGGTCCGATTCCGAGTCATGCAAAGTATGACGGACTTTAAAAAAAAGTGCTCAGTAGTAACACAGAGTCTGGAAATGTGCCCGGTATATGGCAATAGACTCACACCCTGTTACATGGGACTTATAAAATAAATAGTGGAAAGTGGGTGTCACATTGTACAGTACCGTAATATCCACCTCTACCACCTCTTTGGGGATAAAAGGCGTGATGTTATGTCTATATTCATAAATGTTAATCCAAGGAACATAAAAAACTGCCATTGACTCTTCAAATTACAAAAAGGAGCTTATAAGGCCTAATATAAAATAAAATTTAGTTTTAAGCAAGTTAAGTATCTCAAAAATATATATCAACTTTAGACATTATTACGAAAGAGGATAGACAGAAATCTATAAACCGTGATAAAAAGTCACTGAAAAGTGGAAGTTCTTAAACAACCTCTTTTTTTTAAGGGGGGAAAATCATCGAATGACTGCTCCCGCCTGGGTGAGTCGAGAGGGAGTGTCAGACTCTTACTGACTAAAAACCACCCCGTTCCTTCTCCTGCACGTCGAGCCGGAGCCCCGGTAACCCATTAGGTTCTCCGCGATATGTTATCGTATCTATATTTTTTGTATAAGGTAAAATATAATATAAAATATAATATAATAAAACAAAATATGTAGGCGGCATCTGCATCGCGTCCATAACGTTTGTATTAAACTTACTAACTAATACAAATGTGTTTCGCTCAAATATCTGGAGCGGTGTTGGTAGGCGCGACTTCGATACGGGAAAACAATGAAATATGACTACCATTATTGTTTCGCTAAGTTTCTCCTCAGTTCCCTGATATTGGGTTCGTGCAATTGTTTCGCAAAGGAATTACAAACTTAAGTTTCGTATTTAGAATTGCAGTTTGTGTAAATCAATTTGTTGATTGTTTGTTTGTTCTGATTTTGGAGAATTTAGGGAATTGTATGAGTTGTAGAGGTTTCGGTTATTTTTTTTATGACATAAGCCGGTAAACGAGCAGACATATCATCAAATGGTAAGCAAACGGCGTCGCCCATGGACACCTGGAACACCAGAGGCGTTACAAGTGCGTTACCGGCCTTTTGGGGATTAGGAGTTTGAGGATAGTTGGGGATTCAGGAATTGGGGAGATTAGGGAAGAGGAGGGTAATTGGGCCTCCGGTAACCTCACTTACACGACGAAATACAACGCAAGCGTTGCTTCACGTCGGTTTTCTGTGAGGCCGTGGTATCACTCCGGTCGAGCCGGCCCATTCGTGCCAAAGCATGGCTCTCACACACTGTAACAATAAATTTTTACATTAATGATTTGACGCATTGGCTATTTCCATACAGGGGATTCATATCCCAGTAATATTTCATCAACAGCCTATAAATGCCCACTGCTGAGCAAAGCCTCTTCTCACACGGAGAAGGTTAGAGCATTAATCACCACGCTTGCTCAATGCGGGTTGGCGATTTCAAACTTATAATTAGAAATTATAAGTCCAGGTTTCCTCACGATGTTTTTCCTTCACCGTTTGTCAGTGGTGTCTAAATAATCTTAGAAAGTATATATAACTCGGAAAAAGTCACATTGGTACTTGCCGTTGGTAGGTTTCGAACCCGCACCCTCATGCATGAGAAGAGGGCGTCTTAAACAGTAATATTTATCTATCAAGAATTATATCGGATGATATTTGATCATTTTACAAACCCTATTACAATAAGGCAAAAGAATAACTTTTATAAAGTGTGCAAGGTTACATAAGCCTACGAATACACAGCAAACTTTTATATGAAAGTGCAGAAAAATAAACTATGTATAACTGTCCACGTCCCATACCAATAGTTTCATAATAATATAAAAATTTACTCACTTTGTTTTATAAGTGATGTTCCGATTCTCTGAATATTCCTACATAGACCTTATATAAGAAAATATTATCATAATAAGCTCGGGAACGACGGCAGAAATTTAAGTTATCTGTAATTATGACTTTAGTGCCCCCGGGTGACATTCATGTACAAAAATGTTCTAATAACATTACAGTTTACGACTAAAGTATGTAGAAATATCGACTTACAAAAAGAGAATAAAAGAGCTCAGAAATATTTAATTACTTCTACTATGTGTCATACGGAACAGTTGAAAAGTTGATACTGTTTTACATTAAATATTTTTGTACCTCTTACTGGTCTGGGTGTATCTACAATGTCTTTACCGAACAAACAAATTTTCGGAAAACTAAACACATCCACACTGGAAAGAATGTAACTACAAAACAAATATTTCGAATTCACACACACCAACAATTTATTAATGTGGTGAATACCGAAATTACAAATAGGCTACTCGAAAGCACTGCGTATAACTTAGATTTTGCCAAAAAGACGACAAATATGGTAGTTCTTATATAACGCACTTTAATTTTATTTACGCAGCAGCAATAACCATCCGAAATCCATTACCTGGACGTGTAAAAGTCATCTCGAAACCCGCTGAGAATGCAACGTATGCCAAACTCAGCCGACCTCTGATATTTCGGTCCTGCGGGACCCCGTCATATTCCCGATATTCAATAAGGCGAACTAACACGTTTTGCTGTCGGTCCGGACCTTTCAGAAATCCCTGGCGCGTTACTATATAGCATCAATACCTTCGCCCATCGTGTCTCCAATATTACAAACTCTTCCAAAGGTCGTCTGCGATATTTAAATCAGAATACATTTGCCAGTTCACCACGTACTTTTGGGTAGCGGTTTACCTAATTTAGTTTCTTTTTTATTCGTTCGATGGAAGGACGCCGCCATTTGAATTGTTGGAGGTGTTATCGGGAATTCAATATATTTGGTAAAGGTGCTTCGATATTGGTTTCTAGTACATTCACATATCTGGGAGGCACTTGTGGGTAGATAGTAGGTATGTTGTCATGTGGATCTATTGTTGCTTGCGGTGAAACTATGCTAGTTTCTGCCTGAATAGAGAGATCGTATTTCATTAATTTACGTTTCCTTAATTGTTTATTCACAATAAAGTCAAAATGTTTAGAGTTATCTGATTGAGATAACAAATGCGACATAGCAATCCCCGATATCAAGCTCAACATGCACGCATTACCACCATCATACTATCGAGGACAGGTCATGCCAGTAAACACAAAAAATACAAATATTTAAATGAGTATAAGCCTAAATATTTAAAATTATCTTTCTCCACATTCCATGACCGTTGGCATTTTAATAACTTGGTGTCTTCATTATATTACGAAGCAATGTTATTAAATTATAACATATTTTGTTACACAGAGTAGATGTCCAACAAAATATTACAGTAATCTACTAAAAAAAATACAGGATAATATTCTTTACACATTTCGTACCTAATTAGTTTCCAAAAAGAAACCGTGTATAAACATTATGTCTGTGATCTTGAAAAAATGTCTGTAATACGTATCACATCTTTGTGCTTAAAGACAGTTTGGAATATGAACCACCACTTTTGTAAATAGAGTAGTAATGACAATTTTAAAAGAGCTGAGTAAGTCGTTATGCTGTACCATGTGAACTAGAAAAGCTAAAAATAGTCCCTTGAGTATGAGTGTGGAAGAGCCATGCTTCGGCACGACTATGTAGGCTCAACCGGAGAGACACCACGGCCTCACAGAAAACGGGCATGAAACAACGCTTGCGTTGTGTTTCGTCTTGTAAGTGAGGTTACCGGAGGCCCAGTTACCCCCTTCCCCGAATCCCCAACAATCCTCAAATTACTAATCCCCAAAAAGCCGGTAACGCACTTGTAACGCCTCTGGTGTTCCAGGTGTTTATGGGCAAAGCCGATTGTTTACCATCAGATGATCCGTCTGCTCGTTTACCGGCTTATCCCATAAAAAACTTGGTTGGCAATATGGTATTCATCAAAATGTTTTAACAGAACTTTAAAATAAATAAACATAGAAATATTTCATATAAATTATAGTTCTGTCAATTCCTCAGAGTCTGAATCTGGCGTCATGTTATATATACCAATTATTCTGAAGAAAAATATGACTTTTATAAACCGTTTCAGCTCACGATAACTTCACCGCAAGTTATTTTCCGAGCCACTGGCCTTATTTATTTGATGTACGCAACTAAAAAACATAATGACATATTTTTTTATGATATAACTTTGGTCTTTGTAGTATTATTATAATATCAGACGACGGTATTGATGTGATGAGACTTTCATTTTAATATTTCATAATAGGGTAGATGACTAATTTTTATTTTAATGTCCGTCTGGTAGATTATTTTAAAACATTACACACGTATTTTTTTACAGAAACGAATACTTTCGACGATACATTGTTTTTAAATGTCGCGTGACGTCACTTCTATGTACATTTTATACGTAGAAATGACGTTTTAGCCCCCACTTCTAAACTTTGATTCGTTATAGCTAAGTATCATTTTATTATACATCAAAATAAACAAATACGTGTCTAACATTTTTTCATTACTTAACTGACGGCCTAATTAAATTTTTAATTTCCATACCCTGTCGTCATCCCTATTATAACTGTCTCGAAATGTGAAAACGTATTGTACAGTTATTGATATAAAACCTCTCATGAACATATTACAGGCAGGTTTCGTAAAGATGACCATATATGGATTTCTCGCGACGAAATAAATAACAATATTAATATATATATATATAACATTTTATGTGAGCAAGAATGATTTTGCTAAACGTTCAAGTATTTGTACGAAACCAGGCCGCCATTGAAGAATATCCATATTATTATTATAATATCCATACGTAGTACACTTTAAGAGGCTCTTTATTTAAATGATACCATAAAGAACAACCCCCTAATATCGAAACATCTGTCGCCAAAAAGAAAAGAAGTTGGAATGTGAGTTTTTATGGCAACACCGCACTTTCCAATGTTTAGTACTAAAATGTTTTTGATTGTTTACTTTGGGCCCTCGTTTTTATTATTATTGTGAAGTATTATGGTCCTCCTGTTCATAATAATAGCGTTTATGTGTTATACTGTTGTTTTTACGACAGAATGTCATAACATCCCGACGTTCCCATCCCTATAATATCGTGTTTGAAAACTGTTATGAATTCTATACTCAAATGAAGTTTAAACGTTTTGTTTATTGCGGCATATGTGATGCATGTCACTTAAAGTATAGTCAGAAAACATTTACAATTTTTAGATGTACTGACTAACTGTACACATGCAACTGCTGAACATTTTACGAGGTTTTAAGTACCGTTCGAATGCAACATAGACTAAACAGGATGTTTCTCTCTAAAAAGTTTACATTCAAACAACTAATTTTTTTTTAACTGGTGATAACCATCGAGTGTCTGTTCCCGCCTGGGTGAGGCGGGAGGGAGTGTCAGACTCTTACTGATTAAAAACCACCCCGTTCCTTCTCCTGCACGTCGAGCCGGAGCCCCGGTAACCCGTTAGGTTCTCCGCGACAAAACAACGAATTTACCTGTTGTTTTTGTTTCTTGCGTGATCTGCAACTCTGTCTCGCGTGATTTACAACCAAAATCACTTTTATTAATGAGAAAGCAAACAAAGTTCTCAATAAGATTACATCGGTAGTAAACACAACAAACCGTTTAACACAAGGTGTTGCCGTAACTAAAAAACAATGACGCGGCAAATTTTGCGCGGGAATTAATAATCTACGGCGGCCATATTGATCATACTCTTGCAGGCAGAAAGTAAAGGCTTAAGTAATGATTTATTAAAATTGTGCACATATATATATTTTTTAAACTTTGCCCCACACTAGGATTTTCTCTTCTGTCGTGGGTGCGTTTACAAACATACAAGTTCAAGTTCAATTACACATGACACCCAAACCCGGAACAACAATCTGTGGATTACACAAAGAGTTGTTCGGTGCGGGAATCGAACCCGCGACACATAGCGCAGCAGCCGGTTGCCCAACCACCGCGCCAACCGTGCAGTCATAATGGAATATTCGTTTCGTATGGTCATTGGTACTTGCACGACGACGTCTTAAAAAAGATAAACTCAAGCTATTTAAAATTAGCTTTCAAATTAATAATTAAGGTGTTGTCTAAAAAATGAATTTACTTATTAAAATCTAACCGTAACTCAAAAACAATTACAAAATAATATTCAACTTATACATAAATTCACTTTGATCTACTAGGTACTTAAAATACGAACCCCGATCATTATTTTGGCACGCCATTGAAGCAGAAACAATGCAAATTACTAGTAGAACTTCAATACCCAATCAAACGTTGGATCTGTTCGGAAATCCGTCACAAGACTTCCTATTCCATTGACAGAGAGAACACTATACCAATTAACGTTAGTACAATACAATTAATTGTAAACTTCGGCTAATTTGGGTACACGGAACATGGCATGGTCTAATTCGGCCATCTTGTTAGATTTTCCGCCATGTTAAGTATAGAGCGGGAATCATGTTCATAATGACAATGTCGGTTTATTCGGTTTTACAAAATATAAACTTTTAATTAATTAATGTGTTACCTCGTTGGCCGAGTGGTAATAAGGGGTCTCGGGTTCGATCCCGGTCGGGCAAAGTATTACTTTGTTTTTAATTCTCAGTAGTAGCACGGAACCTGGAACTGTGCCCGGTATATGGCAATAGGCTCACCCCCTATTACATGAGACACATAACATAAATAGTGAAAAGTGGGTGTTACATTGTACAGTGGCATAATGTGCACTTCTACCTACTCCTTCGGGGATAAAAGGCTGTTATGTTATGTTATGTAATGTGTTGCCTTTATTTTGAGCTCATACATTTAATAATTGTACTGAAGAACTTTGTTTAGTAACTGATTTCATTTACAATAATGATGTAAAAAAAGAAAAGTTACCTAAGTTCTGTTATAGGTTGATTGATTGCTTACTGATCTGGAACGAAAACACACATGAATTCGTATTATAAATTTCGTGAAATATAAATTAACACATGAATTCCCTCATAAAATTCCTTTCAACCACAACAAAATTAGAAAAGAAAACGGTATTTTTCAACTGTAAGAAATAAATAAAAGACGTGCCCCCAATTTATTAATTCTCCGCCAATGGAGATCGTAAATGTACCGTGGGATGCCCGCCAGCTAGACGGACTGACGACCTTAACCCTTTCTCAGTCCAATGAACCACATATGGTCCACGGCGATCATTTAACCATTGTGTGCGTCTCGGACAATAAAAGTGTCAGAAAATGGTTGTTGGGACCCCTATTCTTTAATTTTCATAAAATAAGAATTTTATGTGGTGGTAACTATAGGAAAGGTCATTCGGTTTATTTGTTTACTAAAGTAAAAAGATTATGTTAAAATTCTAACTCTCATAGTCAAGCCTATTGATGGAGATGGAATATGAGAAATTGTGTAGAAGGGTAAGGCAAAGAATAATAATCTTTATTGATGAATCAATTAGCAAAATACAAAGTCTTATCTTAATAAGCAATGTAGACCTTATAGAGTTAGATGCCTGTACTAGGAAAGCCATGTATCCCAGGCGAACGACTTCTTAGAAAAACGAATACTTTCGACGATATATTGATTTGAAATGTCGCGTCACTTCTATGTACGTTTTACACGTAGAAATGACGTTTTAGCCCCCACTCCTAAACTTTTATTCGTTTTAAGTATTGTTTTATTATACAACATTATAACAAAATACGTGTTTAATATTTTTTCATTACCTAACTTACGGACTAATTATATTTGTAATTTTCATACCCTATCATCATCCCAATTGCTATAATAATTTGAGGATCAAATATTAACAATAACCAATAAGAGACGCAGAGATTGACGCTTAGACAGTATTTCTTATTTAATATCCTACTAGTAAGACATCTTCCTAAGGCATGCCACATTAACATAGTTAAAAACACTGTACCTAAACAAACAATGAAACAACACAATTAACAAAGTAAATATCCATAAAAATAACAAGCTAACACAATGTCCTCCCAAAACCCATCAAAAACAAAAGATAAAAGATTAAATACGTAATATCCGCAATACATTTATGAATCTTTCGTACAGCACAATAGAAAACATGATTGAACGACCAAATCTTTAGTTTGTGCGGCATTAATATCGAAACTTCGTTCCCAGTATGGTTGGCAGTGTCCGATGCGGGGCTAATAAAAGATAAAAGTTCGACCCCATCTCGACTCATATTAGTTGCAATGTTATTAATTTTATTAACATTATTTTGGCAGGCGGCCTCTAACGATGCGTGATAGCTTATTCAATATTGACTAACACAATAATCTTGTTATTTGATGTTGTTATCTTAACTTTATAATGTTCTTTGATATAATCTAGCTGTTAGAAGTTATACAAAGTTTGTTGAGAAGCTCTTTTATTTCTTAGAGGTGAGATATTTGTTTTGATATTAATTATTTATCTTGAAAAGGTTATTGTTATTGCAGAGGTCTAACAAATAACAATATGTATGTATTTTTCTCATCGTCTTGTTAGAACGTGTCAGTTTTTTATAGAGAACATAAGCAAATTGAATATTTTAGACGAATTAGGGACACATATTCTTTACTCGTTGAGTACCGTCATTATAGACACAAGAAAAATAGTGTTTGACATTTTAAAGTCCTAAAGGACGAAATCATAGAAACATTTTACAGCCAATGTTGAAAAGTATTAATGCAAAGCCAAACTAAATGAAATTACGTTGGAAACTACATATGTAGAAACATACGTATAGGTGCAGATTTCAATAAAAACTTTTATCTCAAACCCAGATGTAGGGGTTGTAA